AATATTATCGCTTTAAAAAGTTAGTAAATACTATTCTATTATTTTAGATTCCACCCCTGATATAAGTCAAGACCAACTTACTGTTGCAGTAAGATTTGTTCTATTAAATAATAAATCAAAGCAAAAAGAAATTATGGAGCATTTTTGGGATTTATTTCAATATCAGAGGGTCGGTTGGCTCAGTGGTTAGATTCATGACTTTGAGATCAAAAAGTCTCAGGATCGAATCCCACCAGTGGCAGGAATTTTTATTTTAATTAAGAAAAATTAAATATTAATTTTATTGCATAGGTAGGATTCCCCACTCGACCATTCACTGTTGGGTTCTATTTAACAATGCTGTTCCTGAAGTGGCGCTGGGAAACATTAACAAAGCTTACACAGAATACACATGAATAAGAATTCAAACACAAACTGAGACTGGCATATTAGGTACATACACCTAGGCCATAAAACAAAGGAAAAAAATGTCAATATCATATTCGACAGGACAGGGTTTAACTAATGTTTTATTAGATTTTTTGGAGACTCGCAACATTTGTTTGGGGGATTTAAGGACACATGGTTATGATAATAGTGAGAAAATGAAGGGTTTACAAAAAAGTACTTGACTTAAACCGTAGAGCTTTTTATGTGCTTTGTGCAGCCCATAGTTTAAATTTGGTTGTTAAAGCGTCTTTAGAAATTACAAATTTTTTTGTAATTGTATAGGAGCTATACGTTTTCTTCTCCATATCGATTAAATGTTGGGTCTTAAAATATGAAATCCCAACTTTAACACTTTCAGATACTAGATGGGAAAACAAATAGATGTGTTTAAAGTGCACCCTTCTACAGTATGTGTCAGTTTGTGACAGAACTCTGTGATACTAGATGGGTTGACTTCATTTTCGGTGACATGGGCTATCATTACTTCATTGACCTTCATATCTGTCTTTTTCCAATTATATTTAATTTTTTTTTATTTTATTATTGAATATTTATACATGGTGGCCATTGTAAACACAGTTTCTTCTATTCTAGCAAATGAATGGAAGTGCACAAGGAAGACATGGAATTTTTCACCCTGAAATGGAAAGGTAAAATGCAAGCAATCGTTAAGGGGATTGTTAATTCTTGGAGAGTATGCACTGCCCATCTTAAAATTGGGGTTACACTGCACTAGACATCCTCCTCTTGGGCGATTTGTGATTAGATTGCCATTTATTTTCAGTACGTCCCAATTTCTATATGATGTATTGTTATCTTATGTTATTTTAGCTTCAACAAACATTGTACAATGTATATTATCAGCCTCGATGTAGTTGACAAGATGTTTTCATTTAGAGTAGCTAGTAGTGATGTTTGAATATAAATATAAATAAAATGAGTGACATAAACGTGCTTTGAGTTATTTGCTTAGTTTCTTTGTTCTGTGGCAGAAGTATGTGCTGGGGATCAAAGATCAAGATGTAGACTCTGTTTCCTGAGAACACTGAAGTTGTGACAATGTTCTAGTTGTTTACAAATCTTTGAGTTTTAATAATAGTTTACCTCTGTTGTGTTCTACAGGGTCATTCAGCTTATTAATGTATGTGTTAATGACATTGTCGTGTACAGTAATTGGTTCATGTACTCGGTTTTTTTTAAGTTCTGGATTAATTTCTCTTGACTTCTTGTTTAAAGATTTGATTGAACATTTGGATAACCATCAATTAGTTTTGTTGGTCGTTTAGGGCATTTGTTTTGCAACTTAAACATTTGGGTGGGAGTGTTGAAGTGCATTTATTTAGTGGGTGATTTCCAAGGCACTTGGGACAAATTTGTGTATTTTTACAATTCTCTGTTGTATGGGTATATTCTTGGCATTTGCTACATGATTGTGGTACTAGATCTGGAGCCTTGCTAGGGTAGACTGGATAGTGTTGATAATGATAATGTAGGTCATGTGATAGAAGAGGTGATCTGTGATCCTGTAATGATCCTTATCATTGTTGTGGGTTTTGCATTGCTTCTGGCTATTATTCGTTTGCAATATCTGTGTTCTAGATTAGGATTTGTGAAGTGTCTGCTAATTGAATTATCTCCTGCTCTACCCTGGCGATTATAACAGAGTAAGAGGGGAGTGGTGAAGAAGTAGGAGGTTTTGTATCAGGGTTGCTTTCTTTATAGCTTAAAATATTGCAATTTTCAAAAAATCTGTTAAGGACCCCCATTACTTCATCTTTGTTGGTGTTATTTTTTGTTATAATATCATCTGCATTAGGAAAACTTTGGCTCCACCCCATAGTAATATTCATTCTAGCGTATGAACTTTCTGCTTCTAAATAAAAAATATTACCATACTATTGTGTTCATTACTGGTGAGAAGTTTTTGTTGAAATTGTTTTTGTTAAAATTGTTCTTGTTGGTATAACTGTTTTTGTGTGGTTGAGGATTTCTGTTTGTATCTGATAAGTTTTTGTAGGTGGGGTTTTTTTGTATTTGTAGTCTGGGAGCATGTGCCAATAATATCGATTTGTTCCTGTGTTCCTTTTTCTCTTATTTTCCTCTTGTATCTAACTTTTTTCCACATTCCATCTTCCTTAACTTCCATCTCAGTATAGTCTCCATCACTTGATAAACTAATTTTGATATTTTACTTAAACAACCCTACTAAATGTTCACTGCTTTGGAAATAGGTGTTCACTCTTGCAAGTTTAATTTAATACTGTGTTAATTTCTTATATTTTCTGTAATTTGTTATTTTATTTAAGGTACAAATATTTCTAATGCATATGGTATGAAAGGGAAGGGGGCAGATAATTTTGCCAGCACAAGGGGACAGCTACCCTAGGAACGGCTCAGCCTAACTACTATTATTTTTTTAAATTTTAAGTGAGAATCCCGTCAAACTAATTTTTTAGTTATTGAGATTAAATATACCTAAGTAAAAATGAGTTATTCTTGTGTATAATCAATAAATAATAGCATTTCTATTTCGTCCATATTTACAAATAAATCATAAATTTTAATCAAACTATGTGAAACTAATTTATTTACGAGTATTAAAACCAAAATGGTAAGTGTGAAAATATAGGCAACAAAATACCTTAAATTTTTGTTAAGGAAATTTCCATATGTTATTCTCAGGAGCCACTCATAAATTTCTTTTCATTTTACTCAAAATCAATGTACTTTTCAACCCTCTTCGAGGCTTGAATGTGAAAATGGGGCATCTGAACCCATCGCTATCTGACAGTCTATTAAAAAGAAGAATTGTAAGCTACGAAATGTGAGAATTTTTCCAATACTTACTTTAGAAACATTTTTTGGTGATCACTCCTTTGAAATGATAAATCAACTACTTAGTAGGCATATTTACCTACTGAGAATGTTTTAGAATGGTTTTGGAATAACATTTACATTAGGCGTTTTCGGAAACTGACTTGGATCAGGAAGATCATGGATTCTACTGTTCGTTTACCTAGGGTTACTAACCCTATCCGTGTTCGGAAACTAGTAGATTAGTGATCCAGTTTTGTCATAGAGATCAATATTTTGTGATCCACTCTATGAGTAGATTTTTTGGTGTCTGGTGTCTGCCAATAGTAGCTTTGGAGTTTTTTCTACATTTAATTAATTACTTATAACTTGTAATGTTTATGCCCATGTTGGAACTTTATTAGTTTGACTACAAATGTTTACTTAAAATGATTCTTTAACAAATAAGGGTTTATAATATTGACAGTTATCCGGGAAAATCCAACTCGTTCGTCAACTTTGCACACTAAATTCATTGATCCACGTGATCCATCGGATAAATCCAGTAATCTTGATTTGTTATCTATAGTAAGTTTCCGAAAATACCAATTGTAGATAATTTAGATTTTCTTAAGTAGTACTTTTGAATTGAACAAGTCAGAATTTATTGTGTAACAAAAAATAAAATGTGAAGTGTTAATTTACTATAGGTACCTACATATACATTTTAACTTATAATCATCAAACTTTTGGTGATTAAACCAAAATAAACTCAAAAACATCTGCATTAAAAAAAAGGGTCATTGTCTAGTTTGAGCTCTTTTCGCTTATGAAGAAACTAAGCATACATACTCGTAGGTATCACTATTCTAAATAAAAATCTTCGTACCATACTCGGTACCATATTTTGTGGAAATTAATAATGACATAAGTACTTAATTTTTTAAATGAAAATATTTCACAAATTGTCTCAAATCAAAGCTCAAAGAAGCTACTTTTACGTCTTACAGTGTTGCCAAGCCAAGTCGATCAAAAAGTTTACCATTCAATTATTTAGTAGGTATTAGTCAAAAATACAGCAATTCATTTCTAATCATTTTCCTTGCCCTAACAATATTATAACTATTGACGCTATTTTACCCACCCAGCACTCCTATTCACTCCCTTTCCCATAAAATTGATAAAATTAATGGAAAAATTGCATATTTTTATTTAAAAAAATTATTTGTGTCCTTATTATTCATTTGCACAAGATATGGAACTTAGGTTTTTTGTTTACAATAGCAATACCTACAAGTACCTCTATGCTTAGTTTTTGTGTAATCGAAAAGACTTTAAACTAGACATTTACCGCAAATTTTTCCACTATATCAGACCCTATTATTCTAGAAATATAGGTAAATAGGTACCGTACTGAAATAAAATTTTGTTTACAAACTAGGATAGATCAATAATAAAACCTAACCTCAATTTTTAGAAGAAACCAATTTAGATATATTAAAGCATGTTTTCTAATCAATAGAGTAAATGAAATCAAAATAAATACATTTAAAATGTAAAGTCCGTACTTCCCATTTCATTATCTCTTCGAATTAATTAGTTGTTTACAAAATACGCAGTTGTCAATTGTTTTGTCGATTTCTTTGTTTCGGAAGTATTTAAATTAAATAACAACAAGAAACTAGTAAACTCGTATTATAAAAGTAAACAAAGCATTTGAGACAAAACAAAAACAATAAAAAAAATAAGCAATAAATAACAATAACAAAATTTCTAACCTCCTTGCTTTAAATTTTCAGATTGGTCTAGTGGTATGACAAGGAGCGGCAAAACACCGCTGAGTCCAACAAGGATAGCACCAAAAATGGCCCAACACCAAGGTACATATTCTAGGGCACAAACCCATTCTGGTACAAAATCTTTTACTAATTCTTTATAAGAATCCTCAAAATCGGTTTTGTTGGTGTCCGTAACACACACGAAAACGTTTCCAAGTAGTGTCATTTTGAATTAACATAAAAAATAGGTTTCTTTACACTCGCGGACCGCTTAGTTCTTTTTTGTTATTTAGAAACCCGACTAATCTGACACTGAGATTGAGCCGGGATTGATTATTTAGTCTAGATATTAAGATTAAAAAGCACTTATTACAGAACACTCATCGTATCGAACTTTTACTACATTTATAAAACACATATTTCTTGTTAAAATTATTATAGATAGCATAGCATGCTTTTGACGGATGCATCCCCACTCCCCACCAAAGAATAGCGATCATCTGGCTGTGGGTGACCGTTACTCTTTCCACCACGGAAAACTAGAATGTTAAAGAAGCAATGCTGCCAATTTTCAGGAATTTTTAAGTGACAACTTGAGGAGGAATTAGAAATTAAATACAGTTAATTATTATTATTATAATTTATAAATATCAAAACATAATATAATACGACATAATTTTTTTATATATTTATTCAGCGACCAAACCTATAAACACTTCATGGCGTCTTACGGCATCCTATAGACAGTGTAATGTTATCATCTGTTATTTATATTTTCAATAATTTATTTAAACAAAAATTTGTTGTTAATACAACACTAATTTATATCTCTTTACTAATGCACTAATTTATATTGACAGTATTTATCTTAACAACACGATCTCTTAATTAAAACTGACATATAACGGCAAATCTACACTATTTATATATACATGTGGCGTTTCTCAAATGTTCGCGCATTCACCAGAACTTGCTACGATGGTGGTGCTGTCATTTTATAGACTGGTGTATCCGCCCGAATCGTTTCGAGATACTGCGTCACAGGTCCAGAGTATTTTCTACAATCAATGATTCAGTTCGACTAGGTGATAGAGGCTGTAAAAGGCCCAGATAAGGAAGAGAGGGACTTAAAAGATTAGAGCATGACCGGACTGGTCGAAAATGGCTCGCATGACCATAGATTATAAAAGACCCACTATGCGTAAAAACGTTTAATTAATGAAACCTCTACAGCACATTGTTATATTGTAACTTTTGTTTATTCTCTTGTTATTTTCATTTATGGGACGGACACTTAGCCGCCTAGCTTAGAAACATTTACTTTTGTGATGAATCTATGTAGACGTTCCAGTTATATAGCGTTACATTGTTAAATTTTTTAAACGTTACTATAAGTTCCAAAAAATTATGTCTATAACAAACCAGATGTGATATTCCTGATGTGTCCAAGAAAGCCATTTTACTTCTTGGAGATGTTGCTGTTATAAAGCCCATATAATAAAATCATATCAAATGAACCAAATGTGACATTTCAAATAAGATACAATTCCTGCCTTTTTATTTTTATGTATCTATTGTCCTGCCTATCTTTTAAATTTTATGTTAGGTAAATATTTAATTTATTTCATCTATACTCGTATGTTTGTCACAGAAAGTAACTAAAAAGAACTACAAAATATGTTTATGTAACTGCTAATGTAAGTATTCCTTCGTACATAAAAATTCAGTTGTAGTTATATGCAAGGGATGTTAATGATTATATGTTAAAATTTAAACATCTATGGGATATTTTAGTACCGTTTTAAAAATATATCAAGAAAAGTATCTATGAGAAACATTACAAAAAAGACTGGTAATGTTTCATGTTTAGTGGTGTGGGGAGTTTGATAATCATAGTTTAGTGTTAATAATCCAAAGTTTGATACCTCATTTAGAAACTAATTTTATAATCAAAAAGAAGAATATTCTCGAAGAAAACACGGTGCATATCATACACATTCCCATTTGATTTACCTGAAATACGAACCATGTAGTCCATTTAAAATAACGGTAAAAGGTCGAGAAACGCCGCACTTGACGAGACCACTTGTCCCCTACGTATTTTGGGGCGCTGATTATGAAAATGAGGGTTAAAACACCCCTATTTAGGGGTGTTTTTTACAATTTTAGAGGTGTTCCAACCATTGCTGCCAGTTTTAACCCTCATTTTCGTAATCAGCGCCCCAAAAAACATATAAGATGAGTTAGTTTGCAAAACAACAAGTACAGTCGAAAAACACCCCTATTTAGGGGTGTTTCTTGCAATTTTAGGGGTGGTTCAACCATTGCTGCAAGTTTTAACCCCGATTTTCGTAATTAGCGCCCCCAAAAAAACATAAAAGATGGCTTAGTTTGCAAAACAACAAATACAGTCGAAAAACACCCATTTAGGGGTGTTTTTTGCAATTTTAGGGGTGTTCCAACCATTGCTGCCAGTTTTAACTCTCATTTTTTGTAATCAGCGTCCCAAGTCCCAAAATACGTAGGGGACAAGTGGTCTAGTCAAGTGCGGCGTTTCTCGACCTTTTACCATTATTTTAAATGGACTAATGTGCATGTAACATGTAGACTACACTCACCAATTGAAAGGGATACTTTCAGGTAGAGGGAATACACTATTTCGACATATTCGCAGCTATATTTCTCACTCTCTCACGTGTATTAAATGGAAGAACTGCGAAGGTACCTTTCAAGTAGCGAGTCAAGTATAAATACCTATATTGAATAACGAGTGAGGTGCACGTGATAAGCTCGGTATTGGTCGAATCAGGCAATTATCAAAAATAAATAACCGAACTAATTGTTTTGCTTTTACTGCAGCAGATTATACATTTCTCTAATTCATAGATTTTTCATATCAGTTTTATAACAGTTTTAAATCATAAAAATGAAATGTCAAGGCACATAAATTTAAAAAATATAAATATTGAATACCTAATATTAAATAGCCATTAATTAGTATCAAACTTCCATGTTCAAGACCGTTCTCAGCAGGGAGAAAAGTACTTCTACTCCGTTGCCACTAGCAACATCCTGTCAAAAAAGTTAAACTTTAACGTCATAAAATTGGCAGTAATGTGTCAGCTTTTTGATGTTTAAAGCAAAACGTATTATCATCCTATAGGATTTCTATAGTTTACAAAAAAAATTACTTTGGTGGAATGTACGATCGACGTTCAAATTGAAACGCATGTCTGACGATAAGGGAGTTTAGAGTTTGTGTTGTTTGTTCATGACGTGTTCTAAAATTTGGCATCGCTGCCAAATGTATTAGAAAATAAGATTTTCTAAAAAATCTTGTGTATTAAATAAAATAATTCTCAATAAAAATGCACAATACATTTTAATAATAATTTAAATCCGTGAATAATAAATAATTCAGAAGCCTCGTTTATTTTTGTATAAAAACATTTTCTATTTCAGAACAAAATAGGTATGTTCGGCAGCTCAAAATATAGGATTATGTAGGTAGGTACCTACCTAGATTCATTTCATTGGCAACTTTTTTATTACTTATTTATTTTTCGAAAGGTACATGTATATTTTTATTTATCTAGGTATAGGTAGGCAATAATCTTATTTTAACTTGTTGATTTAAAAGTTCCTTTCTTTGGAATATTTATCGTTATTTTACCTAGACTTACGTACCTACCTATATCGTCCTTTCAAATCAAAAAACTAATCTGTAACCAACGTTCCTAGGTTGGACCGGTGAAGTTAATAGCCAAAAACTGGCAGCAGTTTACCGAGTACGCCCGAACAATACAAGTGGCTTGTTAAAAAGGGCAATACCTACGTATGTATATTTCAGTTTTATGTGTTAATTGAAAACTGAGGTCGTTTGTATTTTAAATGTTTTAAATTCAAAAATTTTTGACCAAGTTAAAAATGAGATATCAAGTTGGGATTAATACCAAGAATACTTTCTAAAACAAACAGTTACTGACCAAAAGCAGAATCGCTTAGAACCCTCGTAGAAGGTAGGAATTACACCCCAAATTCGGAAAAAAAATAATTTGACCCAGTTTAAAATGAGATATCAAGTTAGGATTGGTACCACGTACCTATACCTCTTAATACCCCTTGTGAGGGATACTTAGTATTACTCCCAACAAGATATCTCGTTTGTAACTTGGTCAAATATTTTTTTCCTAAATGGGGGTGTGATTGCTACCCCTTACGAGGGCACTGAGCGATTCTGCTTTTGGCCAGTAACTGTTTGTATTAGTAAGTTTATTTGGTATTAATACTAACTTGATATCTTCTTTTTCACTGAGTAAAAAAAACAAAAATTGGGGTACAATTGCTACCCTTTAGGAGGGCGCTAAGCGATTAGGCTTTTGACCAGTAACTGCTTCTATTAAAAGGTATAATTGGCATCCCAACTTAATATCTTATTTTAACCCATTATTGGCCAAGCATTGAAAAAATAGATACAGTAATGTATATATATTTTTTAAATGATTTATTATAGCATCAAATAAAAGTAATATAGGTAAGTTTTTTTATTATAATACAAGAACATACAAAAAATTACTGTTGCGTGAACGCAACGTTGGCTGAAATACTCATGATCCTTCAAAACAAATTGGTTGTATACAGTATGGTTCAAATGAAAGGAATAAATTCATTATAATGGAAGTAGTTGGTTTTTCGAAAAAATGCTCGGACAGGTCAATTTTGTTTACTCAAAGCGCAATTTTTTAAGTCGAATTCAATTTTCCCCCACTTCCCATTTTTGGGTAGTGACGTCATTGACAATTTTTTTAAATAGTAACCCTAATTTTTTTTTTCTTGATTTTGTTAGATCTTGCAATTTTCTACTCGGAAACATAATATTTGAAATATCTGACATAACAATTTTTTTTGAATAAAAGTCATTTAAGATCAGACACATAAATTTTATTTTTTTTTGAAAACACAATAAATGAATAAAAGATAATTATTTGTAATTAAGTGCTTAATTAAACAAAATAATAATATTATTATTATTATTAATAATAATAATAAAAAAGAATTTGTGAAATTGTCATTTAATTCTTTTTATTATTATTATTATTTTTTTAGATGAAGCACTCAATTACAAATAATCTTTTATTTATTTATTGTGTTTCAAAATAAAATAAAATTTATTTATCTGATCTTTAAATGACTTTTATTCAATAAAAATTGTTATGTCAGATAATTCAAATATTATGTTTCCGAGTAGAAAATTGCAAGATCTATCAAAATCAAGAAAAAAAAATTGGGGTTACTATTTAAAAAAATTGTCAATGACGTCACTGCCAAAAAATGGGAAGTGGGGGAAAATTGAATTCTATTTAAAAAAATGCGCTTTGAGTAAACAAAATTGACCTGTCCGAGCATTTTTTCGAAAAACCAACTACTTCCATTATAATGAATTTATTCCTTTCATTTGAACCATACTGTATGGACATTACAATTTCTTGTCTG